ATATGACAAAATGCATAAGCAGCAAAAGAAAACATAAAGGCAATTCTGCCAAAATGATGTAAATGGAACTTCAAAATACTACTGGGCCAGGTGTCAGTGGCTTACATCTATAATCCTAGCTACTCAGAAGGCTGCAGTCTGAGGATCTCAGTTCAGAGCAGGCCCAGGCAGACAAATCTAAGGAATTCTTATCTTCAAATACTCAGCAAAAAGTCAGAAGTGGGGTATGGTTCATGTGGTAGAGCACCAGCCCTGAGTGAAAAAACTAAGCAGAACTTGAGGTCTTGAGTTCAAACCCCAATATCCACAAACAAAACAAAACGATACTATTGTGAATGCAAGAATAATGTATATAATTATATTTATGTAAATATTATATATTATGTCTAGTTTACAATAGCTACTGTGCATGAATGAGTAGAGTACCTTTTGTGGACTGGAATTGTGTCTCTCCAAAATATGTGACATTCCAGTCCCCAATAATAACTATATATAAAGACAGAGCCTTTAAAGAAGCAATTGAGGTAAAACAAGATTGTAAGAGTGGAGCTATAGCAGAACAGGACTAGTGTCCTTACAAAAAGAGGAAGAAACCATGCACCAGTGGCTCAAGCCTATAGTCTTAGCTACTCAGGAGGCTGAGATTTGAGGATGATAGTTGAAAGCCAGCCCAGGCAGACTTATCTCTAAGCCAGAAGTGGAGTTGTTCTTAAGTGGTAGAATGCTAGCCTTGAACAAAAAAGCTTAAGGAGTTTCCAGGCCCTGAGAGTTCAAGCCCTAGGACTGGAAGAGAGAGAGAGGGAGAGAGAAATAGAGAGGTGGGGGGAGACAGACAGACACAGAGACAGACACAGAGAGACAGAGACAGAGAGAGAGAGACCATCAATTCACATATGCAGAAAAAGACCATATTGTATGCAATATTTGTATACCTTACATACAAGGTTCTTTTCAGCCATCTTTTCATATATCTGAAAAGAGACTAGTATATAAAATATATAAAGAATTCTTTGAACTCTATAATTTTTTTAAATAGGCAAAGAATCTGAGCTTATTTCTCTGAGGAAGAAAAGCACATGCCAAATAACCACTCAAAAAGTTGCTCAATACTATTCCTCCTTTGGGAAGTGCAAGTCAAACCCTCAAATGAGACACCTCTTCACATTCACTAAGGTGACTAGTGGATGCATAACAAAGGAAAACATGATTCCTATTGGTAAAAAGAGAGGAACTGAACCCTGTACATCACTGGCAGTAATGTCCAGTGATGTCACTGCTGTGGAAAACAGTGTGGGGTGCCTCAAGAAATTAAATACAAGTCAGGCACTGAGGACTCACACCTGGAATCCTAGCTACTCAGGCAACTGAAATCTGAGGATTAAGGTTCAAAGCCAGCCTGGCCAGAAAGTCTATGAGACTCTTCAGTTAATCACCAAAATAAACAAAAAAACGGAAGTAGAGCTGTGGCTCAAATAGTAGAGTACTAGCCTTGAGAACACACACACACACACACACACACACACACAACCACACACAACCACACACACTCAACCACACACAAAAATAACCCCCAAAAAACCTCAGGGAAAGCATCCAGGTCTAAATTCAAGTCCCAATATGGGCACACGCACAGACAGACAGAAAGACACACACACACACACACACACACACACAGAACATTAACCCACCTTTAAATGAATTACGGTTGGGGTATAGCTCAGTGATGAAATGCTTGCCTAGCATGTACAAGGCTTTGGGTTCAATCCTCAGTATTACGTGCACACATACAAAGGGAAAATTCTAATTAGCTGCACAGGATGGTACATGCTTGTAATCCCAGCTAGTCAGGATGTGGAGGTAGGAGGATCATGAGTTTGAGGCTAGCCTTGGATAAGGAGAACTTGTCTCAACAATAAAATACAAATGAAAGGGCTGGAAGAATGCCTTAAATGACAGAATGCTTGTCTAGATTGTGCCAGGCCCTGGGTGCAATCCCTAGTGCCACAAAGAAAGAATATTCTGATATATGCTATGCTGTGGACTAAATTGTGCCCCCACCTGTAGTTCATATGTTGAAATCCTACCCTCTCACATCTTGGTATTCAAATATATGACCTTTGAGAGGAATGAGGTTTAAATTAGGAGAGGTGAGGTACGAGAGTGGGAATCTCATGGTGGGACTTTAGTCCAAGGAAAAGAAGAGCCTGGCACTCTGACTCACACTTGTAATCCTTGTTACTCAAGAAGTTGAGACCTGGGGGGTCACCATTCAAAGCCAACCTAGGCAGAAATGTCTCTAAGACTTCATCTACATCACAAGCAGAAAGCCAAACTGGAGGTGGGGCTCAAATATTGGAGTGGCAGGGAGGTTGCATAACCCTGAATTCAAGCTCAAAGACCAGCACAAAAAAAAACCAGAAAAGAAGAGAAGCTAAGGTGTTTTCTTCTCTCTCACTCTGTCTCTCCCCTTTCTGAGGACACAGTAAGAAGTCTGGCAAACAGAGCCCAATCTTCCGGGTGGTCTAATCTCACACTTCCAACCTTCAGAACTGTGAAAAACATATGTCTGTTAATTAAGTCCCTCAAGCTTCCACATTTTATTACACCAGCCCAAGCTAAGAGATGAACTTTGAAGACACTATGATAAAATCAAGCCTGGGTATTAATATGAACCTTTTATCAGATTCATAATGTGACTCATAAACATTTTTCTGGTTCTGTGGATATTCTCATGATGTCCTTTGGTGTATAATTTCTTTTTATTTTTAAAATTTCCCCCTCCCTCAATTTTCTCCCTTTCCCTCCCCCTGTAATTATGAGATTTTGCTTTGTTTTGTTTTGCTAACAGTATTAATCTAACATCCACTAATTCTCTTGCATGCAGCTATCCAGTTGTATCCAGCAGCATTTAAAAAAATTCTTTGGCACTTATTTCAAATACCAACAGGGTTGAGTTCTGGGATCTCAGCTCTATTGGCATATGTTTATTCTATGCCTGCAGCACTTGGTAGTAGGTTTTGAAACATGAAACATTTCTCAGCACCCTGAGCCAGGTGCTGGTGATTAACATCTATAATCCTAGCTACACAGGAGGCTGAGACCTGGAAAATGTCAGCTTAAAGGCAGTCTGGAAAAAGTGTGAAGCTTTATTTAAAATTAAGCAGCAGATGCTAGATTGGAGACATGGCTCAAGTGGTAGAGTGCCAGGCTAGCAAGCAAACTATGTGAGAGAACAAGGCTCTGAGTTCAAGTCCTAGTACAGAAACAATTGTCCTGATTTAGCAAAGTTCCTTGAAATTCCAGGTGAATTTTAGGATAAACCATTTTACTTTTGAAAAAAAAAATACCAGTGGGCTTTTAACAGTAAGGTATTGAATCTATAGATAAATCCTCAGAGTATTTTTATTATAACAGTATTATCTTGCAACTAATGAACTCAGTATCTCTTTCCATTTATTTAGGTATTTATTTCAGCAACACTGTATACCAGTGGGCAGTTTCCTTGATTAAGTTTACTCCTAAGTATCTTATTCCTCTTGGTGCTATGTAAATTGAATTCCCTTTTGGATTGTTCATTGTTACTATAGACAATGAAATTTTGTGTCCTTTGGACATTACCGAATTCATTAAATAGCTCTTGCTGTGGATTCTTTAGTGGTTTTTACATTAGGTACATCATCTGTGAACAGATGTGACCTTGTTGTTCTCCCAATTTGCATGTGTTTTCTTTTTTTGCCTAATTTCCCTGTCCAGAACTTGCAGAACTACGGTTTGATTGAAGGTGTTAAAAGTGCCCATCTTTGCTGATTCTATGAGGAAAGTTTCCAACCTTCCGCACTGAGTATGCTATGTGTGCAGTGTGTGTGCACACATGCATGTATGCTAGTACTGAGACTCAAAACTCAAGGCCTTGAGCTCTTGCTTGGCTTTTTCACTCAAAGCTGGTATTCTACCACTAGAGCCACACCTCTACTTCCAGCATTTCACTGGCAAATTGACATAGTTTACCAGTGCAACCATCTGGTCCTGTCTTTTCTTTATTAGGATTTTTGTTGTTTGAACTCTGGGCCTGGGCACTGTCCCTGAACTCAAGGAAAATGCTCTACCACTTGAGCAATACTGCCACTTCTAGAAAGGTTTTGATGAATAGAAGTTCTCTCTCCTTTGTTATAGATCTGCTCTGATTTTCTCTTTTGTCACTCTTTGTGGTTTGCACATTTATAAGGACTTCTTTCTTGATAACTAAGGATCCAACAAAGTTCATAATATTCTCTTACAATTCATTTTATTTATATATTTTGTAGAATATTTTATTTCTACATTTCTGTTCTATTTTCTTTCATAATGCCTTCTTAATTTTGTTGATATTTTTAAAGAACCTAGTTTGGGACCTGCCAGGCACTCACCTGGAAGAATCCAACTTTGAGGTCATACAAGTTTTGTGGGGATTTTTGGGGCTAGTACTGGGGCTTGAACTTGGGGCCTAGGCACTGTCACTTAACTTTCTCACTCAATGATGGCACTTTACCACTTGAGATGCAGCTTCACTGGCTTTTAAGAGTTAATTAGAAATAAGAGTCTCGGGGCTGGGAAGGTGGCTAGTGGTAGAGCACTTGCCTTGCATGCTCGAGGCCCTGGGTTCCTCAGCACCACATAAGAAAAAAGCCGGAAGTGGCGCTGTGGCTCAAGTGGTAGAGTGCTAGCCTTGAGCTGAAGAGCTGAGGGACAGCGCCCAGGCCCAGAGTTCAGGCTCCACAACCGGACCCCCCCCCGCCAAAAAAAGAAGAGTCTCACAGATTTTCTTGCCTGGGCCAGGCTGGCTCTGAACTGGAATCCTCAGATCTCAGCCTCCTGAGTAGCTAGAATTAGACATGAGCCACTGGCAACCAGCCAGACAAGACTTTAGACAAAGGCCTATTCCCTGCCAGGGTATGCAACTTCTACCAAGGACTTGGCTTTTGTGCTCTCAATACATAAAAGCTGAATGACTGACCACACAGTTTTAAAGAAGAGAGGCAGAAGTTTATTTTGTTGAGCAGACCTTATTTTCATTATAGTACCAGGAAATTGGTTCTCATTTCCCTTTGGATGCAGAGATTCTGCAGACATTTAAAACCTCAATGCTGTTCCCAACGCACCAGACATAGCTGCATTTAGGAACAGAATTACAGTAAAGTAGGAGAGTTATAAACTACATTCTTTCCAAGCTTTGTCCCCATTTTCCCTTTACTTCATTTCCATGGATTATTGTTTGGAAAACAATGAGTACTTGAAAATGTTTTGTTCCAAAGGCCAACATTATTTTGCGTTCTATTTATCTACATGGGACCTGGAGGCGATGCATAATCCAATGGGCTCATGTCCTAGTTCATGGTCCAGTCACTCAGGCCTTCCCATTGGCCACTGCATTGCTGGCAACCTGGGAAAGACTCAGGAGAGGGCCTGTTTAAGCTGTACAGGCTACTTCTGGGGAATGTGTAGCTGTCTGAGGCTGTTTGTGGTGGGTTTATTTTTTGGGGGGTAGGGGGAGGTAATGGCTGTTACTCAATGATACTAAACAAGATCCTCTACATATCCACAGACTCACAGCCAAGTCACAACACAGAAGTGGTTTCTCTATCACAGAGAGAAAACCAAAAACCAAATAAAGAGTGAAAAATGTGCCACCTCCAGACACTCTGTAGTGTCGGTAATGACCTGAGCTTTCATGTCTGGATTGTTTGGATTCAGTCAGCTAATTAATCACCAAGTCCTAATCAAAATCTTTTCTCACTATGTTAAGGCATAGAAAACATGAATTTATATAAAAACTGCTGGATTACCTAACCAGACATGACAAACTATGTTTGATTAACTGTGATCATTAAAAAAATGCCCTCAAAACATCAAGTACTGTAAAAACTATTAAAATTACACAATGAATGTGGATCTATGTAACTTAGCACATAGTATACTCTCCATCTTTCACTTCTGTCCACTTTTGTTTCAAGACATTTTCTACCAGGTGTTTCTACTGATTCAATTTCTACAAACTCCATTCAGGAAAGTAGAACTCTACATTCAAATATTTCTTTTAATTAAGCCAAATTAGGAGTGACTATCTTAGAAAAGGCCTACTTTGATGTTTCTAACTGTAGTCACAGGGGACAGTGTTGTCTGGCTTGACATACACCTGACCATCTGGCAAAGGAGACTCTCTTCCCCTATCACTTGGACTCTCTCCCTTCCAAAACTGCACTCCTGTTGCCAGTTCTTAGACCCTGAAACCAGGTCAGTGTTGTTCAGGAAGAGCTTTAACGTTCAAACATGAGGATGTCAGGAGAGTACAGGAAATTTAGCTTAGTTTACAGAAATTGTTTCTTAACATTTGGGAAGGCCCAACACCAACAAACATCTTCATGTTCAGTTTGAAATCCAACATTCTGATGGAATCACAATTTCATCAATCTAGAAAAAGCCAACTTGTTACCACTCTCAATGTGAGTGTTGAATAAATATACTTTTGATTACACCCAGGAGTCTAGATAAAGACCCTGGCCATGGCATATCCACCGCCCCAGACCTCAGTCAAATACATTGTTCACAAAACATAGAAATAGATCCACATTGTTGCATGGCATTTCGATATGCCATATTATTTCATATTATGTTATAAAGTGATTTAGAAAGGAAAATTTCCACTACGACATGAGAAAAAAATTTACATCCAAATGCTAGCTAAGACCACCATATTGAACAGTTTCCAGAAGCCTGAACATTTGGGTCCATCAGCTATTAGTTCCTAGGGAAAAAATTTCTCACCTCTCTTTTCAGACATAGTACATTTTCTTATAGTAGAGGCTACAGACAAAGCTCATCAGGACCATATTTTAGTGGTAACATCATTTCCTGGGCATTTGGTTAACTTAGAGAGGTGATTAAGCCCCACAAAGTAAGGAAAGAAACAGACAGAGGGGCACAGACCACTTCAGAAGCAAGCTGGGATTGGTGCTACTCAGCACCAAGTACAAAAACTTCTGTCTGGGTGCTGACAGATGGGGCGCAGAGCTGAAGGAACCAGCCCTCCACAGGGAACAGTTTTACTTCATGCCTTCTTTCTCTGCAGAGTATGCCTAAGAGACCTGGTAGTAAGACAAGAAGGAAGCCAGCAAAGAGCCAGCATGTAGAGCATATGCTAGCGACCTGACCATTTCCTGCTCTACCTCCCAGACAAGGCTGGGGAGAATTACATTTCTGCCTGCAGCTGTAGACAGCAGTGGGAGTGCCTCTAAAAGCTTAATTAAATGTGGAGATGATGCCTGAACAGGTGTTTCTTGATTTCAGCGATCCTATCCTATCAGATGCTCAGACCAGGGAGAGGCAAGTAGAAAACCACCTCATCCAGCCACCTTGGGACCTTTCCCAACTCAAATCAACTCATCAGTCAAGTTCTCTTTTAAGCTGTGCTCCCCAACTTGTTATGAAATTATGAAAGCCAATCCAAAAGCACCTTCAAATGACTGGGAAGCTTCTATGCTAATTTCTACATTTAAAAATGGAAAAAAATAGAAATCTGTGGTTAATATTTTGACTTTTAAAAAGACTGCATATCAAATTGTTACCTGGCTTAGAATGGTGAGGATTTAGCTAAGCATTTACCTCATCCTTGTTTTTGTTTTTATTGTGTTTTTGTGCAGTGCAAGAAAAGCTTTCTGCAAGCAAGAAAAGCATTCTGCTCCTGAACCATAGCCCAGCCCCTTCCTAGTTTTAAAAAGCAGCAATCTCAAAAACAGCAAACCCATAAGCCAGAAGGCTTATGGTGCTGGTGCTGCCGTACCTTGTGGCCAGGGCAGATGGTACCACATGCCCCAAGAATTCCACAGGGATGACGTAGGCTGTCACTGTGAAGACACACAAGGCAAAGACGGAAGGTTATGATACATCATAACACAGCCATGCCACCTCAGAATTGGTGTAGAGAGCTAAAATAAACAGTACGTAAGACAGGGTATATGAGTTCCAGAGTCAGAATCCTTTTTGATCTCTGATCCTGAGAACTTTTAAATTTTGTCAGCTTTTTTTTTCCTGTGTTAGTACTGGGCTTGAACTCAGGACCTCGCACTATCCCTTAGCATTTTTGCTCAAGGCTAGCACTTGAGCCAAATTCTACTCCTAGTTTTTGCTGTCTAATAGGAAAGAAGCGTCTCATAAACTTTCCTGCTCAGGAACCATAATCTTCAGATCTGTTTCCTAAGTAGCTAGGATTATAGGTATGAGCCACTGACAACCAATCAATCTGGATATTTTTTGTAGAGGAAAATCCAGGCCAATTTTCCTGTGTCTGAGAAAAAAGCCCTGAAAAAGAAAAGGGGAAGTGATGTAACAAGCAACCAAGGAGCCTGAAGCCTGAGCCTTCGTAGCTCGATCACCAGAGGAGCTTATTATGGCTGTGCCCAGTTGGAAAATTGCTAAGATTTTTTTTTCTTTTTAGAAAGTGAGAAGAAAAAGTAAAGACTTTCATAAATACAAAAATTGTTTACAAAATAATTACCTAGAAAGTTCCCTGGGACTAGGTAGGGAATAGGAATATGTTTTCCTTTCAAATTAGCCACAACGGTACTACTGGTGGTTCATAAAGCAGAACGACCACTTTGTAGTTTTCCTCCCCAGCACACCTCAGAGCCCTTTCTAGGCCTGCTATTTTCCCTACCTTTCCCAACCCCCGCCCCCCAAATTAATTTGCTGAGCCATTGTACCAAGTCAACCCTGAAGACACATGACTACTAACTGGGGTTCAATCAAAATCAAACCTAAGGCCTGGGAAGAGAGTGGGTAGAGGACATGAGAAGCATGTTGGCATATACCTCCAGGCACGGAGTATGGATGAAGCTTCTGCTAGCCTGACCCAGACCTAGTGCAGTAAACTGAGGTAAGGAAGCATGTGGTGGCTCCCAGCCTGCTTCCAGGACGGCACAGCATGTGTGTGCTCTTGTGTGTGGGCACAAAGGACTCTGCTTCTTCTAGTTGCTGCTGTCATTTCTCCATATGGCAACAAGATTGCTCTTTTTCTTTTTCCTCGCTCTTTACAGAGTCCCAAAATATCAGCCACTTCTTCTGAGGTACAAATCTAGCAGAGCCTTAACCCCAAAGATCCAGCGCCTAAGGCGTATAGAAGTCAAAATCAATGCTCAGAATCAAGAGGTGTGGCACACCTGCTCAGTCAGTTCATCAGCAGTTGTATAGACAGATCAGAAAAAACAAAAACAAAAAACCTAGCATTTAGTACAAAAACTGTTTTTCAAATGGTGTCATTTCCTGTCTCCTTCCAGGGCTCATAATTCTTCACGTTTCTGAGATCCTATGAAAAAGAACAATGGACAATAAAACATTACTCTTCAATTATAAAAATACAAAATGGACATAGTCCACAACCTGATCTATATACTCTTGCCTCCTTTTAATTTTTTTTTTTTTTTGCCGGTCCTGGGGCTTGAACTCAAGGCCTGGGCTCTGGCTTCAAGCCTCTATGTGCTCAAGTCTAGCACTCTACCACTTGAGCCACAGAGCCACCTCTGGCTTTTTCTCTTGATGTGGTACTGGGGAATGGAGTCCGGGGCTTCATGAATGCTAGGCAAGCACTCTATTGCTAAGCCACATTCCCAGCCCCTCCTTTCAAATTTAGGACTTTATATTAAAATTTGAAAGCAAAAACATAATAAAGGAGACAGCTTTATTTTAAAAAACACTGAAATAAAGCTGAGCATTGGTGGCTCACTCTTTAATTCTAGTTACTCAAGATATGAGTAACTAGGATATGAAGATTATGGTTCACAGCCTGCCTGGGGCAATGGGGGCAAGAGGGGATTATGTGAGATCTTACTTCCAATTAACTACCAAAAAGCCATAAAGGGTGCTGTGGCTCAAAGTGATAAAGCACTAGCCTTAAACACAAAAACTCATGGGCAGTGTCCAGGTCCTGAATTCAAGCCCTAGGACCCCGACTCACCCCCCCCCACACATTCTCCTCTCTCTCTCTCTCTCACATACACACACACACATACAAAACCGCACTGAAATAATGCAAAGTCAACTGAATTGTTTTCTCAAGTGCAGTATTAATACATAGTAATGTTCACACATTTTTGGTCAGTTGTCTTCTATTTCTTCTTTTTGGTGATACTGGTGTTTGAACACAGGGCTTCTCCCTTGCTCCACCACTTGAGCCAAGCCTCTAGCCTATCTAGTTCTATTTATTTTCAAGACTAGGTCTTGCTTTGTATACAGGCTCTCCTGGCCTGTGATCCTATTTGTGTTTCCCTGTGTGGCTGAGATAATACATGTGTGCCATTGGCTGACACTAGAGTCTCACAAATTTTATGTGCTCAGGCTTTAACCAAGATCCCTTAAATCTCTCACTCTCAAATAGCCAGGATTATAGATATGCACACCACTATGCTTGGCAAGAGTCTTTAAAACAAACAAACAAACAAAAAAACTTACTAGCACATAAACATGTTCTTATGTATCAGTATAGCTCATTCTTGGATGTTGAAACCATTTTTTAATAATGGTTTTGGTTTATAAAAATGGTAAAATAATTGCCTTCATCTGTGTTGTTTTCTTGTGGTGAATTGCTTCTCTATGATATACTCAGTAGAAGGGTTATTGAGGCAGAAGCACTTGCTGGGTTGTCCTGCTGCACCCAACAGCTTCGACAAGGCACACCACACAGTCTGTCCACCTTCTCCCCATGAATGGGGCTGCTTGTATGTCTCCCTGATTCCATGTAGTACACACTTAAGACAGATTTCTCCATTTGGATTGCTGTTTCCTCAAATTCCCTTGTGTTTCACTCTTGTTATGATGTGTGTTTGCATTCTTTGCCCATTTATCCAGAAATTGAGGTTTTAGTAATACATGTGAATAACATTTATGGTCAATATATAACTTTCTAGTTAATGTTATTATATAATCTTCAGAATGGACAAATGAAAAAGCAAAATAAAAAGCAGGCTATGACTGATGTTAAAGAAACTTTTTCTTTTCCTTTATTATTTTTTTTGCTTTAATAACAAATAGAAAATAGAAACATAAATACTTATCCAAAGACAAAGATTTATATTTACCTTTTTGGCTTGGCTCTTTTGTCTTTTCCTTATAGAGTGTGCCTGTTTCTTTTTCCTTCTGAAAGCGAATCTGTAGTTGTTTGATCTCTTGATCATAGTCCTGCCACTCTGGGACAATTCGCACTGCAGCTTCCAACTTGGGTTCTTTGGTCATTGGATTATTACACTGAAAATCCAACATATACACTTCAGCTAAGTTAAAGAAAAGGGTCATTATACAGAATTTAAAGGTGTTAGTAGTGGGCATGGTAGTATAGCTACTTGGGAGGCTAAGGAAGGAAGATCACAAGTTCAAAGCCAACCTAGGTTACATAATGACCTGGCATAAAAAGGGAAGGAAAGAAAAAAACGAAAGAGGAAAAGGAGAAAGGGAAAAGTAGGAAAGGGGGAAAGTGGGAAAAGAGGAGAGAAAGGAAGAAAAGGAAAAAAGGGATTGGGATAAAGGGAAGGGAAGAAATTAAGCAAAGATATTTTTGTCCCTTGATTACATGTACTAACTGGTCAACAACAAATAACCAAACCAAGCCTGAGCAACTAAAAGATATAGTAGAAGATATACATACATAAATATATATCTGGCAGTGGGCTATATAAGCTGTATTTCTTTCTACAAAGAAGTTATGGAAGTTATCAAAGATAGACAAAGTCAAAGTCCATCTGGAAAAATAACAAGGCACAGAGAAGAGCTGGCAGAGAAGTGGCTCTGCAGACAAGAAGCAATGCAAACAGTCCTGACGGGGGGCTGGGGCAGAAATAGGACTGCACTCCCCATAGCTTACCAAGTCAATGGTTTTTGCCCTCTTCTTAGAAGCATCATCACACCAGGTTTCACACCAAAGCCATTCTTGAGGGAGAGATTTGATTGGCACCTGATGGATCATGTTGTTGGGCAAATCCTGTTTGGAAAATAAAGCACAGAAATTTATAAATTTCCAGAGGAAATTCAAATACAAAATCAAAAACTCTTTCCCATTACATACATCTAGAATGCTTAAAACTTATCTAGACTTCCTTGTATGAAAGTAATTCAACAAAACTTATCCCTGCTCACTTTTGGAAGTCAAGTAAGTTTAGAGAGCTCTTTTAATACATAGCTTCCCCAAAAGCAACTCTGAATGTCCCTTGTCTACTGAGCCTTGCTCCCAAATAGATCAGGATAAACAACAAAATAGCTAGAAAATATATATAGTTAAAAAAATAAGGAAAAATGATACACTACGGAATAACGATTTACACAAAAGAAGGAACATAATGTAACACATGATAATATAAATAGAAAATGGCGGTCAAATTCTGCCTTGTTAATAATTACATTTATCCATAAATGGATTACATTGTTGAACTGAAAGTCACAATGAAATGACAGCTCACATATAAAATTAAGATTGACAGTAAATTTTGGTCAAATATGGAGTAACAGGATGTCTCACATTGCTGAGAGTATAAATCAGAACTACATTAAAAACCTAAAAGACAGCTTTCAGACCCTGAGTTCAAGCCCTAGTACCAGAACAGAACACACACACACACACACACACACACACAATTTAAGAAGTTTTAAGTTTGACTTAAGCAAAACAAAATGTTTAATTATGTGAAACTATGTTCTAAAACACTTAAACTACAATTTTGTATCTAAAAGATGTCTAGCGTTAATAGTTATTCATCTAGCTTTAAAACACATTATGTGGGGCTGGGAAGGTGGCTCAGTGGTAGAGCACTTGCCTTGCATGCCAGAGGCCCTGGGCTCGATTCCTCAGCACCACATAAGCAAAAAGAAAAAAGCTGGAAGTGGCACTGTGGCTCAAGTGGTAGGGCGCTAGCCTTGAGCTGAAGAGCTGAGGGACAGCGCCCAGGCCTAGAGTTCAGACCCCATGACCGGACCCAAAATAAATAAATAAATAAAATAAAATAAAACACATTTTCTGACACAGATAGAAAGGGAAACTGTAACACTTTATTGTATACTGTGAATCCTGAGTTATTTAGTTCATAAAGCTGAAAAAATGAATTGACTATAGCAGGCAGAGAAACAAATTTAATAGATGAAGTTGTAACAAATTAAAAAATAAGGTAATAGTCAGGTACCAGTGGCTCACATTTGCAATCCTAGCTACTCAGAAGGCTGAGATCTGAAGACTGCAGTTCAAGGCCAGCCCAGGCAGAAAAGTCTATGAGATTCATCTCCAGTTAACTATCAATAAGCTGCAAGTGGACCTACGGCTTAAGTGGTAGAGCACTAGCACTGAGCACACAGCACAAAGGCCCAAGGACCACTCGGGCCCTGAGTTCAAGCCCCAGAACCTGCATGACGAATGAATGACAAGATCATGTTTAGAAATACAGTATCCTCTTCCACCTCTTTAATTAATTACAAGCAGGTCTCTGACATTTTCCATTACTGGCTGATGTTCTGAGGCCAGATACAAATCTTTCACACACACATGCACATGGTCCATGAAACAAAAGGAAACAAGAGAATTGAAAAACAAATAATAATTCATTTTCTAAGACAATACACTCTATACCCCAATCTGAAAATGTTAACCATTAAAAAAAAAGTCACCTACCTGATCAAGATTTGAAAGGCTATTGGGATCCTGACTCAGACCTTGGTACTGTCCCCTGAGTCTGTCACCAGCAGCTATTTTCCTAAACTTCTTCAGATCCACAACATATAGTGCACTGAATAGAGAAGACCTGCTTGTTATAATCAACAATGGATTTATGGCAGAACTAACCCCACTGAAAAACAAAATAGGTCAGATTCCAGTTTTTCTTTGAAATGGTGAACTGAAAGATCACAGTAGAGTTAGGTTCATATGTGCTACTTCGTTCAAAGAAGTTAAAGAAAATTATTGGATAAACTATATCCTGCCATCACTTGCTCTCTTTAATCACTGTTACTGATTTGCCTTCTGAAAAAAAGTAATTTCTGAGAAAAGAGTTTTAGAGAATGTAGCAGATTTGGTGATAAGTGTTATAGTAACTCATAAAAAATGCATTTGCAAAGGATATCCTGTTGATGTTTAAACGCTACAGGGGAAAACCCCCCATGGTATTACAGTTATTTTGCACTAAAAGCAGGAAGATAAAACTGAAATCACTGAATCTCACCATTTATCTCTGGTCCTACAGGCCCATCTACCCTCCAAATCTTCCAAATTACACTTTTCTCAAAAAAGATAATGGAGTGTTCATTATAATGAAGGATACACTGCTTTACCTAAGATGTCTCTTGTGAATATATCCTACAAACATACATGAAATATGCAACATAGTATATATAACAGAAAAAAAACTAAATAATACCCTGGAATAATATGAAAAAAGTAATAAGGTATCTGTTTATATGTTGATATTAAGATCTGTAAGAAAATATTAAGTTAAAAAAAAGCAAGTTATAAAACAGTACAAAGAAGATGCATATTTTATATAAAAATAGACATTTCTAGCTGTTTGTCTAAAAATAAACTTTTTTTTGCCAGTCCTAGAGCTTGAACTCAGGGCTTGGGCACTGTCCCTGAGCTTCTTTTGCTCAAGGTTAGCACTCTGCCACTTGAGCCACAGCACCACTTCTGGCCTTTTCTGTTCATGTGGTACCGAGGAATCTAATCCAGGGCTTCATGCTTGCTAGGCAAGCACTCTACCAGTAAGCCACATTCCCAGCTCAAAAGAAACTTGTTAGGAAGTACTGGAGTTTGAACTCAGAGTCTTGTCCTTGCTCAGCAGGTGCTCCTACGACTAACCCCATGCCTCCAGACCTGTTTATATAAAAATTACTCTGAGAGGACAGGCAGTAAATAACTAATGGAGTTATCTGTTGTGGAGTGAGAACTAGATAAAAGAAAAAGGATAGGGCCTGGGAAGGTGGATCAG